AAGATGCATTTTTATTGTTTTTGTTCGATTTGCCAAGTTTCGATCTTTCTCATTGAATTTTAGGTTTCATAAGTTTTGTTTGAAAAAAAAAGGTCTCACATACATCGCACATGAAGCATGTTAACTGCAGGATGTTTATATCTTTGATTTTATTTGAGGTTTTGGAAAATGTTTCACAATGATTTGAGAACAGATGATCTAATATAGTCACGGGACTTTGATATAAAACAATCTCCGGATATCATCGGAACTCTGGCACTGAATCAGGAATCAGAAACAGGACGTTATCCCACAAACTTTCCCTCCACGACTCCGGGAGAGAGAGTGATGACATTACTTTCCTTTCTTGTATTATAGTCCGTTGAGAGCCAGAAGGGCGTTAATCCAACTAGTTAAAACACAATGCTAATGCCCTTCTGCTAATGCCCTTCTGGCTCTAAACAGACATCATCTCACATTCTTTGGTGTCAGGACTAATTGGGCTCCATACTGACGTGATAACTTTTTGCATTGATGTGGTGCAATTATTGTCTACTGAAAGTAACTTCGTGCTGGGATACTGAGGCGTTCTTCTGGTCCTGACAATACGTCAGTATAATGCCCATGAGTGTTATGAGCACTGAAGAGTAACATGAAAAGAGGGGGAAAAGGTACCGAGAGAACGAGTATAATAGACTTTAAAAAAGGGATTCGCAGACTAGTAGAAAAAGAGTTAAGAGGAGACAACAGGAGAAAAGAGAATAGTCATTAGAAGAATATGTAAGAAAAAGAAGGAAACAAAACATTGATGATAATGACGATGATGATGGAGATGATGATGATGATGCTAATTATAATGATGACGATACTGATGGTACCTGTACTACTACTACTACTACTACTACTACTACTACTACTACTACTACTACTACTACTACTACTACTACTATTACTACTATTATTACTACTACTACCTACTACTTCTACTACTATTACTAATATTACTACTTCTAATAATAATGATTGTAATAAAACGCGGAGGACGTGGAAAAGGAAAATGAATATGATTATAAGTCAATGGAAAATTGTTATAGATAAAATTAGGAAAGGGTGAAAAATTGTATGTTTGATAAGACTTATGAACCTTGATAATTATCATACATCTAGTATTATATTTTTGTTATTGACGTTGCATAATATGACTTTATAATACATCTGATATTTACAATTGTGAAACACGCATGTACTAGCCATGCACAGCTAACAAAATGATTCGGCATATTAAGCATACGATTTACTGTCTCTGAATAACAAACATGTTATAATTGTATTCGTCATGCCATCAGCCCTAATATCATTCAATTTGAACCGCAACATTGTATTATTTCCTGCCATTCTTCAGAACTGCTGATAGATCATAAAAACAGCTCCCATTTATTGGACATCATTTCAATTGACACGGCCTGCCATCTGCCCCATTCTACTCCAGTGGCATAGCATGGGCCTAACCAATGAGGGGGCATTTCCTTCTGGGGGAGGGGGGCTTGGTTGGATTAGAAGCAAGAGAAGTAGGGGAGGGTATTCGAACAGGGTTTGTCATTTTCCATAAGGGGATCTCCCAAACGCTCTATTTTCTCCCACCCCCTTCTATCTCTCTCTCTTTTCTCCCCCTCCCCACTCTCTCTCCCTCCCTCTCTCTCTCCCCCCTCTCTCTCTCTCTCTTTCATTCCTATTGTAACAGTTTGAGAGGGAGAAGTGCCCCTGTACCCCCTGCAGTGGCTCCGTCGCTGGCCCTCAGTCTTCCTCTCGCCACCCACCTGCTCCTATACCAAATAGTATGCGTAACATCTCTTATTATTATTGTCTGCCATCCGATGATTCGATCCATTCATAATTCTATTCATATTATAACAAAGCCAACCAAACAAGAGCCCCTCAAACCTAATGATTCTACACCCCTCATTTCGACGACTACTCATCCATCACAGGAGACACAAGTCTATGCGTCATGATAAATCTTATTCATTCCTCACAACTCTTAATTTTACTCTCCTCGGGGTGAAAATTAAACCACTTCGAATATTCATAATTATGATTCAATATTCCACCGCGATGAAACCATCAAGATCATTCCATTAACATAAACCATGTATTTTGGAATGTGGAAGAGTTTGTCAAATATTGATTTAGACAATGGGATTTATTTTCATTGAACCCACAAATATTTGAAGGTAATATTGGGGTAAGAGGAAAATGCGTCAACTCTTTCCAATCAGAATGAATGAATGAATGAATGAATGAATACAAAGAACAATACTACACAGATACTATAGCCCAAGGTTAGTGTGTGGTGTTTATGAAGAATAGAATGGTGCATCATTCATAGTACCATCTCATCATGTTTTTATCGACTTACTTGGCTGAAGTGTGAAAATAAATCACCACGTTTCTTGGAAGCCGATATTGTTGTGAGTTGAAGAGATTGAGAATGAGAAATAATGAGTGTGACATTATTTCTCCCTTCGTGTACTGGATTATTGATTGAACTATCCTTTACCCCTTATTTCACACATCTATGATAAAAATATTCCATGATGCTTGAGAAAATATGTCTGATGAGAGTCATACCATTCTACATGTTTATGGAATTAACCACTCTATTGGCTGTCGGCGAATGGATGATTAAAGATAAAATTACTTTTCAGTTATTAAGTGAGCCCATGTTCTAAGAGACCGATGCTTATATAGGGAAAGGGAGCTCCAAATTTATTTTCACACCCCTTAAATTTGTCTGGTCTTTTATTTTGCCTGCAAGGCTCGAACAATAGGAGTCATGTGCCAATTTTCCAAACATAATGGATACATTGCCAGAAATGTTGAATGGAAGGGAGGGGGGGGGGGGGGTGCTGCCCTCGTACGCATTGCGACACTTTCCCTCCACTGAGGAGTGTTCAGCAATAATTTCAAAAATCAAAATGCACGAACTATGAACCCATGACGTTAAGTAGCTAGCTGTATACAGTCATATGCCATCATTGCACTTTTGATATTTTACTACACACAACTAATAATACTTCGATCACCTTTACAGGAATTTGATATAATTTTTGTATAATTAGATAATTTACTTTGGACCTTCAAAACAAAACAAAACTCGAAATCCATGAACTGTATCTTCTGCAAGGGCAATATCAAACATGGAAACAGCAATCATCTTTATCTTCTTCATTAGCTATGGAATTAGATGATTACCAAAGTAGGATACGAATGAAACCCTCTCAGGAAAAAAAAAAAAAAAAACCCGTTAAGAATGGACATTAGTGAACTTCGAAGATGGAAGGGAGACGATCAGATATAGATTAAAAACTCACATTATGGAAAGTGTGATATCCACGAAATACACGTCATGTACGTGGCAATCTCATGAGTGAGATATGCTACCCTCATATTTTGGGATTTTGAACATTACACCATTCTAAAAATGGCTGATGCTATTGGAAAGTGTGGCGTAGTATACAATATGGCTACCATCCTTTTCTCGTCGTTGCGTCATTATCCTAAGGGGCACTCAGTAAATAATGATGACGTCACCACTTTGATCAATACATCCGTCCCTATTGTTATGGATTGATCAGTGCGCAATGACGATGATAATGGGGGGGGGGGGGGGGGGGGTCGACCTTTTATCTACCGGTACTTGGTTACGAGTTGTAGAAGGGAGTATAACATGAGCTAAATATCTAATCAAGTATGACTGAAACCCGTAATGAATGAAAATGAAATAAAAATTTCTGTTGCATGAGACCAAGAATATAAACATTATTTTTGTTAATGTATAAAAAGAGTATTTTGTATTTATGACCTATCATCCTCTCTCTCTCTCTCTCTCTCTCTCTCTCTCTCTCTCTCTCTCATATCTCTTCTCTTCTCTCATCTCTTAACCCTATTCTCCAACTTTCAAAGAGAACAGAAAAGCATAATATTACGATCACGTATATAGCCATAGGCTGATATTTAGAAATAATATTCCATTTACTTAAACACTGCCATGTGAAATCATTATTTCTGTTACGTTGCTTCTATTGAAAATGAGCACGCAATTTCATTACGTCCCTAACTTTGCATGCTACCCTAATATCAGCTGAACATAATGTTGTGTGTATTAAAATAATGACGAGTGATGCTTCCCTTTAATCCCCATATGGCTTTGTGACTCGCCTCTGATACTAATTAAAGTGTTCCCCAGCATAAATTATGCACGAGTCGTTCAGATCGACTGCGTTCTCTCTCTGTGCCCCTCTCTTCCATCAACGCTGATGCATTGTACATCTACATGTAGTATGGATATGACTGTATGTTATAGCATGGACCTACTTCATGACTGTACATTACGAGTTCTTTGACTTTGTTGCAGGTGGTTTTACATTTATAAGAGACTTTCCTTTTCCATACATTGTGTTTACTTAGTTGACGATTTCGATATTTTACCACATAAACTGGTCCCTTAGGTATCATTATTCAGAGTTAATTTACTGTTGGATAAATTATAACTTCAAACCTACATGATCAAATACAAATGTATGTTAAGTTATGTCTGTTTAAACATTATTGTTTGTAACTGTGATATTAAGGGCTGGAATGAAAGAAAGAGAACTAAAGAAAGACAGACAGTAAATAGAGAAATACAGAAAGAAAAATAAAGAAGGAAAGAAACAAGGAAAGAAAGAAAGAAAAAAGGATACTGTCCAAATGCAGTGTATGGTGTATTATTTGCAAATTATGTATGGTTTTTACATAATGTATTGAATATGGATTGTAGCATTTTCATATGTAGATCTACCACTCTGAAAGGGAGGAAAGAGAGGGAGGGAGAGAGAGAGAGACAGAGAGAGAGAGAGAGAGAGAGAGAGAGGGAGAGAGAGAGAGAGATAGAGAGAGAGAGAGAGAGAGAGAGAGAGAGAGAGAGAGAGAGAGAAAACAAAATCAACAGCATTCAGTAAAAAATGACAATCACACAACTATTTAATTCATAAATCATAATATATATCTCTTTATTTTACAAGTTTACACAGCAAAGTACATGTATGCAATTTGCAATGCACAAACACAATATATCATGTACTTAAAGATGATGAAAAAGGAACTGTGAACAACGTATTACTGTTTCAATCAAAAAGAGAAAATATCATGAGTTCCCTGATACAAAACAAGCAAAGTATTCCTCCAAAAAGAGTGAACAGAAAAGAGATTGGTGATTAAAAAAGTGAAAGTATTTTTATCAAAATTACATGTAATGTGATATATCACATACAACTTATTTCAAATATAGATTATCAAATTATGATAAATTTCAGTGCTGTAAATTAAAAATAAGTTAATCATTATGAATATATTTTGTTTTATAGAAGAATCTTAGCCTATATTTTATTTACCCTACTTTAATTGTTATTCCTGAATCTAGTTTAAACAATCATTCTTTCATATTCACATATTCTGACTATGCATCTGCTTATCTTTAGTATAAGTTTATACAAAATATCTGGAAAAGTAGCTCTTTGAAGCTTTGTATGAGAATATAGTGATTTTAGTTTCACTGACTCTGGTACAGCCATTAACAAACCTACAAGTGACGAATACAGTATGAATCATTCACAGCACAGCACAACCACAAATGGCATTGACTCACAAAAACAGACTTCTTCTCTATCACACATTTAAACTGTGGACATATAAAAACAAGAAAACAGCAAAATCGGAGCAAAAAATAATAAAAAATCAAATGGAACTGAATCACAAAACCACAAATTTGATGAAGTCTTAGTACTAAGTTCACTTCCATACAAATCTAAGCAGGTTTAATAGTTCTTAGAAATATAAACTCCCGATGAGAGATACATCTATATAAATTGTACTGCTTTGAGTTTACACCAAGCGAGACTTGCTCTTTTAATCTCTTACATGTATAGATGTACATAATGGATGTCCAATAAGAAATGTCAATGTAGACATGTAATCAGAAAATCTGGCGTGAGCTTCATTTAAATGGTTCTGTTGTTTCTAAATGCTTATCCCAAATTGTATATGTACAGACATAAATTGGTAACCAAATTTCCTGCCTAATTTTTTTTTGTGGTAAAAGGACTGAATTTTTACTCTTTCAGAGTGACACTGAAAAAAAAGGATGACCTTTGAATTTGACCTCTGTCTGGCATGGTTCCAGCTTGGTCTATGGGTTTGAGATGAATAATTTCCTTCCTTTTTGAGGGGAGGATTTTCTTTTGTCCTACGATTTCCAACTGTTCATAGTACATGTGCGACATGCTGTATTCCATTCAAGATTCTAAACATATGGTATAGCCTACATGTACATACAAAGGCACTGTAACTTGAGCAATCCGGGTGATTAGTTGAAGCTTTGCAGCATGCCATGTTGATATTTAGTTACACACTGTAAAATAATATACTTCTATCATTCTGTGTATTCTTGATGTTTTTAAATCATGCCAAGTGTTAAAAGAAGGGCTTACACAGGGAAAACCCCTTTTTAGTTTCACTTCTTGTGAATGGACACCATCATTCTATTCTCAAAGACATAGTTGTGTCTGGTCTATAAATATCCTTCATTAAATAAAATAATAACTCATCCAGGGTAATTTCTGAATTACATTTCCCTATTCATTCATGTCTAGAGTTCAAAATCCTCCAGTTTCTTTCATTTCTTGATCATGCGAAACCATATCCTGTAATGAATGCATTTCCTCTTAGCTACAGGAAGAAGGAACTTATAACACATGCTCAGATTTTAATGGTTTATCAACGGTTTCATATATTGAACTTCCTTGTTTTCTAAAAATGCAACCAACCCATGCTTGGTATATTTAGGAGATTTAGTCCAATTTAGGACTTGGTCTACCGTCTACATGTACATTTGTATGTACATGTACTTCTGTAAAAGTGTATTCTGTAAGACTACATTTAGGGCATGTAACGTATGTTGCACTATAAGTGTTAAGTGTTGACCTACATGCCTAAATGTACACGTACATGTAGGCCTATATATCAAGTTATCAACAGCCAATCAAATCATGAGCATTTGCATCTTTTGAACTGAAAAGTCTAAGTACTTCCTTCTTTGATATAAGGAAGAGAAAAAAATTATTAATTAACTCAATCCCAGTTCATGTCATGTCTTTTACCTCTAAAGAAAGAAGTGTGTGCTTACATAGTGAGTATGTACATTGTACAAGGTAAAGAATGGGCTTGGCAAAAAGCACTGTTCTGTTGTGCTTGCGGGTACAATGTACATGTACTGCAGTAATGCAAACACACACACAAACTAGAACCCCATTCAACCATTCAAATGCTACCCACGCAAAGAGCTTTTGTATAGGCCTGGTGAGCCATACAGGATGCATTACAATGCCATACCACACTACAGTCACTGACGGTAACAGCGTACTGTGTGTGAAGCCCATTGAAGGTCTCTGGTCTAGAGAATCGATGGTATGCATGTAAGCAAGTACCAGGCAAAATAATGGCCATTTGCCTGTACACTTCAACATGAAGGCCTCAATATGTGTGTATCACCACTCACGTTTATTGCACATTCAGAGTTCAAAGGAAAAATGTTAACATTTCATTCTACAAATGTATACCGTGTATGGATAATTACCAGTTCCTTAAAAAAAACTCGACACTAATATTAATACCATCTGGACAGTAAATATAAGCATAATTGTATGTAAATGAAGGAAAACTTGAAGATACAGTTCTTAATTTGAACAATCCTACATGAATATTTCTTGTCCGCAAAATTCTGATATGATTATGTTTACTAGTAGGAAAATAAATGAATATGTAGAAAAAAAAACCAAGTCTTGTAATTAGTTACAAGAAATTTATTAGCGGATTAAAACATTCTGGGTGGCCCTTGCAACTATTACTTTTTAGCACAATAACAAAAAACATCAAAAGAAACATAAATTTAAGTTGTAAAGATCAACTCATAGCCACATACATACCATTTAATCTTCAACTGAAATTTTCTGACAAGATCTAGTAGTATGCCAGTGTTTAACTTTGAAAAGAAAAATTACACTGAAAAAAAAAATACCAAAAGACTGCCACATAGTCTTTATGTAGGCAACATCAGACACTCATCAACATCACATTCAAAAACAAAAAATATATTCATCACTTGATAAATATTAATCAGCTGCTAAAATATCATGAGCATCCTTTGGTTTTTTGCAGGAGCGTTTTCTGGTAATTGACTCGCTTACTGTTTCTTCTCCTTCGAGAACAATTGCATTGCCTTGCTTTTGTTTAATAAACCAAAAACTCCACTTGCAAAAAAAACATGGTTTCTACCCTACGATTTGGCGAAGCAGGCAACAGTGATTCTTGACTGAAAGGACTCTGGACTGGTTAGCTTTCTGTCATTATACAGTCCATCAAACATCATCACATTCACAGTGAATATACTGCATGAATACTGCACTTTTGTAGTGTGGACGAAACAGAGACTTCTTCCGTCAGATGTTAAGTCAATTTCGTTCTCCCTAATTAGACAAAAAAAGTAGCACATAATTCTGGCGACAACCAACTAGCATTATGAGATGTACATGTAAGAGATTGTGGGGGGAGGGGGGAAGGGGGAAGGGGGAAGGGGGAAGTCTGCTATCAGTTACTTGTCATCATTTAGTTCAATGAATACTGAAGAGGCTACTACAGGTTATATTTTGACCTAATCTATTTCAAAACAACCGTCCATAGTACTGACTTTCTTTAAATGTCAATTTTCAAATTACATCAAAGACTGAATCTTATTTTGCATACAAAATTTTCAGTTCAGTTTTTCAGAGGGAAAAAACCATGAGCTTTTAGAACCTTTCACCTGGCAGTGATAGTTTACAAAGTTACATGTGATTCCTCAAGGCTCTTTCAACTCTTCACATTTTGACAAAAGCTACAATTGAATTAAAAATACAATTCTTTCTCCTTACAAGTTAGAAAAGCAAAGTAAGTGCCTGTTAAAAATAGTCTGTACTATTGAGATTTAGCTGAATTATTTGAAGATCGTGAGACGTTGAGAACAGCAGAATATTGAGGAAGTTCTCTGATAATATAATTTCTGGTATTTCTGATAGTATTCCTCGTTAATGTCTCGAAGATTTGTTGCCACCTTGAAGTTGCTGTGCTGAGATGATGCTACTTTTTTCTTCTTGATGATATTCCAGAGAGTATTAGGGTGCACTGAAGTTACTGCTCGTAGGGTAGGGTTAATATCTTCCAACAGTAGAACTTTGGCAATCGTCCACATTTCTGCTGGGTTGGTCGAGGAACATGTAAATTCACAATAAAGACTCGACAAGCGCTGTTAAAAGTTTGCTCTTTGGTAGTGAAAGTACTATTTCATCAATAGTCTGAGCGCGGCAAGTCCACCAAGAAAAGCCCCTGTCACTAACAACGAGTTGAATGCTGCCTTTTCTTTCCAGTCTTTGGCCTTGAAACTTTCATCAAACTTTTCCTGTAGGGGAAATGAAAAATATAAAATGTTACATAGACCTAGATACAGATCTACCTGAATATAAAGATTAAAAAACTAGACCCTACAACATGAAGATGATCTTTGAGTATGTGGTAGTGTGTATGTAAAAAACACATACAAGTACATGTAGGTCTATCTCCTCTTAAAACGATAACTCCATGAGTAATTGACTCATTGACTGAGTATGATACTTAATTTAATCGATACAGTTAATCCTGATCCTTTCTTATTCTATCTTTCAAGTGCAAGATTATTGTTTAATGTAACAGTATTCTATTAACATAACATTTCTTAAAACTTTAACATTTTTCCTTTAACGTACCCATCCTCCTTGCTTATTAATCCAGGGGGTTAACCTTGATGCAACATATCTTCCAGCAAAATCTGCCAAGCTTCCTACGTGATAACCTTTTCCATTTTCCTGGCAATATTTCGCGAGACGGGCTGCAAAAACATAAACCATAACAACACGTCCCCAGTTACATGACCCTTCTTCAAACATGGCATTCAAACTCGCAGTAAATGCCTCTTCACCATCTTTGTCCGGATCATACTCCAAATTGTTCACTAAACCATTGAGGGTGATGGCGTATCTTTCCTCAACTTCATCCCCAACTCTCCTTAATGTCTCTGCATGCTGGCAAGGCGGTCGGCGACCATGTTGTTTTCCAACTTTGTATGAAATGTAATCGTCCCCAAGCTGTCGAGCAATTAACCCCGACTCGCCTTCCTCCACAAGAGGATGTCCATTCACTTCTTCATCAGGGCTGGGTGGCTGTTCCTTTCTAACATTTCCATTGAAAAACAAGTTTTGGCCCAACTGCTTGTTGTAGTTGCTTTTCTGAGGCGAAGAAGCGGCAAGAATTGATTCAGTCATATTTGTATTTGGAGCTCTATCACATCCACCAGACCATCCAAGACAGCACCATATGCCCGACTCCCCTTCCGTTTTTCGGTCTTCCTCACTCATTCAAGTCCTTGCCTCGGCTCGACTCACGTCACCACGGTTCCTATGTAAGTTCCGAAGTGGCTAGCTAGCAGTCAAATCTGCACCTTGGACTAGCTCTTTCTATCGACACTCGCTGCTACACAGTTGTGTGGGTGAGTGAAGAACTATCTGCTGTTTCACAATACTATACGTTTGTTTCCCTGCGCTAGCGTTGCGTGTGGTAAATTCTATTGATCTTCTATTCTCGCGTCAGTACGGACAACAACACACGATCGAACGAATAACGCTGCGCATTACGAGCGAGCCGATTATATACGGAAACTGCCGAGCAGACATTTTATTCCGAGAAACCTCCCGAGAGTGACTAAATTCTACCATGACGTAAACTACTATGACGTCATATCACCAGGAGCAACTCGGTCAGGCATCTGCGCATTCACGAAACTTCGGGAACTTCCCTGAATTGCATCGTCCATTCGTTGCTCCCTCTATGTGGAATCAAGCTAAGAAGTAAACCTATGTAATGTATTATTCCGTTAAAAATGATTTTTGTTTAAAATGAATATACTGTATTTTTGTCTAAAATTCAGAAACAAAAGGTTTGATATGTTTTTAATGTCATAATAACTTTAGTAAAGTTTACATGTTTATTAATTTACCCCTCTTAAAAACCAAGAATGGTTTGACCTGGATTGCGCAATGACAACGTAACATAGTCGTATGATAATTTGTATGTGTACATCGGTACGGCACATACTTCATTCGTGTAAGTAATTCGAAATTAAGACTGCGACATGGTCGTGCTCTTCAAGAAATTATAATTATTGAAGTTGTAATTCTCTGTTTATACTCAACAGTAGTTGCATCATCTACCAGTTTGTTATAAGGAATCTGCCGTGAGTAACTCTACCATTATTATTTACGATCTAATATTAGTTGGCGTATGAACTATGAGTATGAGTATGACTGAGATGAGTGCATAATTCCCCCCTTCTGATATTTTAGAATAACTTCTATCCTTTTTGGTCTACAGAACAAAAGGCAGTGACCACAGAGAACATCAGCAGAAGTGAGACTGAACTGCGAGTCAAGATGGTGCTCCAAGTTATACCCGACGTCCAGAGTGGTCCAGAAGGTCGCTCGCCACAGCAGCCCAACCAAAGACATCAAGAGAGTGAAAATCCTCTAAGAAATGAGCAACTTTTGAGAAATGATGGAGGCAATGAGCAGGGTTGTGAATACCAAAGTCTACCAGAGTATTTTCTTTATAGGAACACCACGAGTGAAAGGGGATCAGGTTCTATGCATCTAGATCCAAATAACAGGACTTATGATCCTTCCCAAAGGACAATATCCGGAGTACCGGAGAGGACAGTATTCGCTGTGAATGAAAGGACACTTCTGCTCGAGGATACTGGTAAGGCGTTGAGGAAAATGGCAGACACGTATATCATTACCAGGAACACTGGACATGAGCTGAGGAGAATAGCTGATGAGATCTATTTCAAACTCGGCAGGTCTGAATGTCATCCGCCTGATGCTGTCTTCATTGAGGAAGTCCAAGAGAGCAGAATGAGGAGGAAAAATTCATGACTAGCCCTAGACTCCTAACAAATTAACTGTGGAGCACTGGAAAAGGAACTCAAGGAAATGCTGAAGAAAAACAATAATGATTATGTTTTCTACATGTTTGTTGCCTAAGTGCACTTATCACATTTCTGAAGCAGATGCAACAGTATATTTATATTATTTTTATATAATTACTCTTTCTGTTATGGTATTTATTGAGAATTCATTTACTTTTCTCAAATAGATCTCAAGAAGATCTGTGAAGCTAAACATGTTGTATATCTAGTTTACAGCTGCACTGTTATTTTCTTGATGACTGTGAATGGCACAAACTGGACACGTGATGGCGCTAGTACAGTTAAGACAGTGTGAATACATGAAGCACCCATTCAGTGCACAAACTATTTGATACAATTGTCCTACCATTTGTAGCTCACATTCTAGATGTCTTACAAAACTCTTTTTTCACCCTTCAAACTGAAATTGTGTAAATACAAATAAATTTGTGATTCCATCCTGGGCTCCTGCCTTCATTCTTTACACTCAGAAAAAGGTGCATTTTCCCTTCAATGTCCATTTATTATCCCTGTATTTTACAGCGACCATGTAATGCATCGATTCAACTATGGCAGGAAGCAAGATTACAGGTGCGATGTGGAAAAAAAACCTGCTATAATATCAAGTACCCTATGCAAATGATCTTTTTCTTGTATACTGGTATTGAAAAAATGTTTAAAAGACTGAAGTCTAGTTTTTGGCTTCATATACTTAAAATTATGCACAACCTGTCATTTCTTTCAAGTATCATACTGTAGATACATTTTTTATTTTAGAAAAAGGAAAGAAAAAATAATTTTCATTATGAAAAGAGTAATGGTTCAGAGCTATTAGTAGTACCTCTAAATATCCATTGGCCTATGGTCAGCACTGATTATTGGTCCAGAAGAAAAAATGGGGGAAAAAACAAGAAGAAATCTATCCTGGAGATTTAACAATAAAATGTTTAGAAAGTTGATTTATTTGGTTTTGACTGGCATGTGTGTTGAAAAATTGTTTGTAATAATATTCTACAAATTATCTGGAGTTTGAGTTATTTCATATATTTTTTTGTCACATATGAATATATACATGAACAGATTATTAAATTGCATGTATAAACCCAGTTAAATGTACTATGGGAAATTATTATGGTAACTAATTTAAAGCAAGAATTAAGGGGTAAAGTGTGTGACACATAATGTGAAACTATAACTATATTTTTGTTGTATAAGTTTATAAAAGTCATGCAGGCATGAGAAAAGAATATTGCTGATATGCTAATCTTTTATATATTTTAATGTCATTGTTGCTTCACAAACAATTCTTGTTAAAATTCAATTATGGTATTTCCATGGATTCACATGTTAAATACATATCTTTTAATAAATTGTACATGGCAAACTTTTGATCATTGTTTGTTAGAAAGCAAGAATGTAGTGATGAGACTATTAGCATGGAGAAAGATAAACAACCAAATCAGCTTCAATGCAATATATGCAATAAAATAAAAATACAAATCTATGTTGGGATTTAAAGGGACTTGGTAACATTGTTAAGATGATAGATAGTGGTGCTAAGGTAGTGACTTCAAGGCTAGATGTACAATTAAAGATAATCTGAAAATTTGAAGGAAAACGGACCATTATTCATGGTACAAATAGGGAAAAACTGATCTGATCGATTCCTTAATTCTCCCAACTATGTTATTACAATTTAATTACATTTTAGGTGAATGGAAATCGTTACAAAGCAATAAAATGGCTCTACATTCCATTCCAGACATTTAAGTGTTGACAGATTTTGTATAGCCTGTTTTATGTCTTTTTTTCATGGAAAACCGTTGGGAAAATTCAAAAATGGTTGGGAGAATTTACTGTTATCACTGTTAGAGGGTGTCATACATCAACCTTTTCAAAGAAAACCATAGATATCTTCGTGGTTTGAGAATTTGTTTAGGATTTTTTGCATGTCAGAGGGTTAGTACAGTAGAAGAAATATAGTAAGTAACATTATATACAAAAATTAAGCAATTTTTTTCGTCAACCTTCAACACTGTTACCAAGTCACTTTAAGATACAACTATTATTGTCTATATGTAATAATACAGAAATTTGTTTCCCATTGGTATCACATAAAATATTAACACAGGGAAAAACATGATATTATATGCCAAGAGCCAGAGGGGTTTAAAGTTAATATTGAACAAGAGTAACAAATAGCAAACTGATTGAAAAAATATTGCCTTAAACAAATTACAATACCCGGTACCTCTTTTTCTAACTAATGGAAATTAAAGTTTTATTTTTCTATTTCTCTAAATCATTTATAATTAAGTGCAATTAATCAATATCAATGCTGCTACAGTAAATGGTGGTAAACATGTTCTTGGAATATTCAGATTTGTCAAATTAAAACGTGAAAGAAATGACTACCAGTATTTATTTTCTGCTTTATTGTTTACACAATTATGCATAGTTATATTTAGAGGTAGGGAAAAAGCTCATAAAGTATGAAGAGAATGAATTGCAATAACAGAGGGGATTTTGAAAGTATAGTAAAATTGATTAGATCTTTCACAAGAGAGAGAAAAAGAGAGAGAGAGAGAGAGAGAATAAAATAGAGAAAAGAGAAAATAATGGTGTACTTCTAGATGGGGGGGGGGGGGGGGTGGTATAATTGTGGTTTTCAGATGGGCAGTCAAAAAGTGTGGGGGGTGGTATAATTGTGGTTTTCAGATGGGCAGTCAAAAAGTGCTGATAACTAATTTGAATTAAATTTGGTGTCATTTCGTTAGATTAGAGTCATGTTGGAAAAAAACGAGTCATGTGCATAAAACTCCTTTTTCTACTTTCAATCTCTTTTTCTCATGAGCTTTTCTGTTTGCTGCCCTCACTTGGCAGATTAATTGAATTTGTCCCTTTTCTATTCGTTGCCAAGTAAATCACACGCGCAGTGTAACATCTCTTTTTCTTCTCATCGAGTGTGGATAAATTAATTCCCATTTGTAACTGTTTTCTACCGTAGATGTAATATTAGTTCATATTTGGATGCATTATTTTAAACATTCTACTTGAGGTTGAGATGGTAACATGCAAGAAGTTGATTCCTGTATTATTATTTTTGACGCTATTAAACTTATAACCAGTAGTTTGTAATAAAATGCATGTACTAGAAAGAAGTACATTTATTTGTAGAAAGTGGGGGTGGGGGGGGGGGTAGCATGATGTCTCTTAAGTCTCAGAATTGATTCCTTTATTGTTCATAATTTTGAGTTATTATTAATTTCCATTACCGGTAGATTGTTTGTTTCAGAGTGTGCTTATTATGTGAAGCCATTTTGATAATCATTTGTAGAAAAGTGTGAGATTGTATAATCTGAATAATTAATATTATGTGTACTAATTCATTTTCTGGGTTTTTTTCTTCAGTATGTGATTATGCAGCTCCTATAATGTCGGTGTTGTTCTAATATGTTGCCCAAATATAAACAATATTATCTTCCACTCACCAAATATTGCACATTTTAAACCAAACCTCATCTGTTAAGAACAAGAAGGGCATACATTCATGGGCCCCATTTCACAAAACTTGTCATCAGTGACAAATGACAGTTTATGTTATAAGCTAGTGAAATCCTTGCTTGTGATTGGTTGTAAACTGATTTTTGTCATTTGTCATTGAAAAAAGGCTTTGTGAAATGGGTCCCAGGTAAGTGTAAACGAGTCAACATCCTTCTGGATCCAAACAGATATTTATCTAGCTCTAAAACACACTGAAGGGAAAAGACAATAACTGCACCAATATTCTAGATGAGAATTCATAGTTTTATTGCAATTCTAAATCTCAGCTTGCTTCACACAGCACATGAGAAAGGTCAAAAGTCAAAGGTCATTCTGTCAATCGCTATAACAGTTAAGAGTAGTGGAACACTTTGAAGCGATGCATCAAATCTATGAATCAATGTCCTTGTTTATATATCCACATTAGTCTTATAATAGGCAACTACATCTCTGTTTTACTAGCTGTGTTTACGAAATCAGGTTTTTAATCTCCCTTCAAATCATTAGAATATTAATTTATCACTGCGCAATTTAATGTTCTACTTAATGACAGCTTGAGTAGCATATTGAGAGTTATCATGAAAACACTGGAGATATACTTGCATCTTTCCTGCTCTAAAATAGCCTGAATTAAGTTTTTAATTGTCTAAAATGAGTAAATATGAACAATACCTATATAATTATCATCATCATCATTTATATTTTGGAATTAATGAACACCTATACTTGCAGGAAAGAAGGGAGGGGGATTATAGTTCGTCCTACTGGTAATTAGTCCTCTTAGTATATATAAGTAACGAGCTGAAAACAGAGGTGGACTGTTTTAGATTTATATAATGATTACATATATCACGTTATGTACAATTGAAATATATAGAATATATATGATTGTTTACAATATACTAGGAAGGTACAAATAAACTTGGTTGAATAACAAAAGTGTACTTAAATCATTCAAGTTTCAAAATACTACATCATTTCCTTGCATTAAAACATTACAAAATAGAAAATATATAGACATGGAATTTGTTGTAAATTTTGTTCATATACATTTAAGCACACACACTTCTAAAAGCGGCAACATAATTTTCGAGCCATAGTTAACTTAATAGGAGGGTTCTGTGAAATGTGTCCCAGAAGATATAAGTCTTTTATCCAATATCCAAGAATGAAAACCTGTTGACCATTGACTCATGGTTCTCTATGTCATCAATCGAGAGACTTGTATTTGTTTTACATCAACTTAAGAAAAAGACTTGTTGTCTGGGACAAATTGCAAAGAAACACCCATTAGTATTCTATTCTCAAATATCAAAGCGAAATTGATCATTGCAAATTATACCGCAATACTATTTAACCATTTTATCACAACATAAAAATATAAAAAATAAGCAATAATTACAATTACAAAAACACACCAAAAAAACCCATAAAGACATCATTTTATTTAAAATATTAAAAAATTGACACTACGTTATAAGCTGAAAGTTGTGCTCACATTCATTATACAATGCAACTACAATGAGTCAGTGAATCAAAGAAATGTAATTTATATCAAAAGTATGTTCATACAGTATCATATCAAAGAAATATAGTTTTCTTGTAGGAAAACTCATTTAAATCATCATGAATCATATTTTCCTTGTAACTTTACAAACTCATCTTTTTAATCATAAAAATTATTGTGACCGGAATGCTAATTTATTGATGTGGTTATCCAAAAACATAATTTTATCTTTAAGATTGCCTCACAAGCAACTAAAACATTTCCAATCTATGTATTATAATTTTTCTGCACACACAAATAAAGGCTTTGCATATTAAAACACTTCAACAATTTTTTTTTTTTAAAGCCGATATGACTTAATAGCAAATAATCTGCAATTGCACAAAAAAAATGTAATTGCACAAGAGTTATGTCTGATTTGAAAAGAAAAAATACAGACTGAAATATTTCTTCTAGTTCTTATATAATTCAGCGAGAGAAACACAATATGGCATAAAGTTGACTCAAGTAATCTTAACTCTTTGTCTGCTGAGTTAAAATCTTTCCCCATCACATGGTTTGGGTGTGGTTTACACACACACATTGAGTGACAAAAGACGACTTTGGCAATCTATTGTCTGTTACATCAGTCACCTGAAGCAGACAAAGAGTTGAACAGTATATCTTGTGTAACATTGTATACGATTGCACAAAGAGTTGTTATACAACATCGAGAGATATTCTATATTCTTATAGTGTTTCATTTTGGTTGTAAGACTTCATATTCAAGAATATTCTGTCAGCCTACTAATACCTCTGATATTGCTATCTGTTGAAAATGCTTCAAAAGGAGGCAAGCAAATATGTTATGCAACCCTGGAAAGTAAAATAAGCCTGTTTGTCGATTAGAGTATTACGAGGTTCAATAAACTAGTTATATCTAAGGAGAGCACAAGATGACGCTGTGCTATGAGGAGATGAAGCTGTAAAATACTTGCATTTTGTAAAAATACTACAGATACATAGATTTATTATCAAATATATCACAGACAAATTAGCTAAATACTTGGACAGAGTAGATAGAATAGGAAAGAAAATAGAATGAAAGCGAGAGATAGATACATAGAGAAAGAGAGAGAGAGTGAGAAAGAGAGAGAAAGAGAAAGAGAGAGAGAGAGAGAGAGAGAGAGAGAGAGAGAGAGAAAGGGAGAGAGAAGACTTGCTCAATACATTGTCTGTTCATAGTAAGATATGACATAATTGAAAATGAAATCTCGTAGTGCTTCGTTAACAATATTTTGTTCAGTCACCTAACGTTTGCACATACATGAAGACGTAGCATATACAATACCTGTAAATCTTCCTTAGCTAAAGACACACGTTTTGTTAATATATAGTCACCTTACATTCAAGTGAATATAAAACAATTAAAAGTAATCTGCTTCTTTTCCAAATACAGCAAGTCAATGGCTTATATATTTGCAATCTTATACACCATGAAATATGAATATGAAAATATGATAGAACACATTATGTTATATATTTATATATCCCATTAGATACATATCATTATTGTTACCACACATTTGACTAAAAAGTCAGCAAATAATCATTGCACAAAACACCATCTTTTCATCAAGATGAATTTGCACAAACATGTTCAGCAGATTTACGAAATATAGAACAACAAAGTGAAATATAGAGTTTTTAGTTCACAATGCAATGAAAAAAATAAATGTTCATTTCACATTTGTGGGAAGGAGAGGGAAAGGTAACTGAAAGAAAGAGAGAGTGAATTGGAGAGGAAGAGTAAGAGAGAGAAAGAAAGCTTAAAGGAGAAAGTGTGTGTGTGTGTGTGTGTGAGAGAGAGAGAGAGAGAGAGAGAGAGAGAGAGAAAGAGAGAGGAAGACAAAGCATGAGCACAAGAAGTGTAGAAAGAAATAGGAATGAACATAACTTGCAAAGGCTTGAATACACCTTATTCAGATTTTCAAGCATATTTTCAGCCTAAATTAAGCCACTATGAATTATCACACAAACTTTCAGTCAAGACTATTTCTCATACCTTGTTGAATATATAATATATATACTGTGAATATACTCAGATAAAAGGTCACTATAAAATACAATTGGAAGAAAGACTTTAACCATCACAAATACAGACTCTTTGAGACATTCAAATATTTTGTTCTTTCCAGCAGAAACATTAATCACTATAATGCACAAGTTTTTATAACGAAAAAAGAAAAAAATCAACAGAAATAATATGAGAAAACACATAAAGACAAGACCAGTTACTATTTTGCACAGCAGAAAATATATACACATACATTGTACATAAAGGCAGTATAGTGAGCTTCGTATATAAAGATTTCAATCTGCAAATATAATCATTTAAAAAATCATTAACATTTTGGTACATTTATTTATTACATCCCCTTTTTGAGACATATTTTCACCTCTCTTTATAGTCTACTGCTGCTCCTCTTCATGACTTCATTTCTTTACATTTCTTTAAGTCTGCAGTCATTCAATTAAAACACAAAAGCAATTTAAATTCTTAACCTTGGAATAATTATCCTCTGTGTGTTTTTGGAATATGTTGATTAGTGAAGTCACAATATGCACACAATACACAAAGACAGGTTGCAGAGATGTCTCCACAGGCAGGTAACACATATTTGACCAAAATATCAAATTTAGATTTAGAGAAGGTAAATTTTAATTGCATTGCATTTTAGAGAAAATCTAAATGGTAAATATATATGTCTCTGTATATGTTTTCATGTAATATTTTAAGTACAGTAGCGGATTATCATACCATTAAATCTATTACAGAAGCACATATTCTGCCATGTGACAATGTAAATGTAATCATTGCAATATTTATAAACATCATTCTAAATAAATGGCGACTGGACTTATACCGATACAATTTTAAGGGCCAAAGAAGCTTCTCATCTTCCACAAGATTTGAATTCAAAACAAATTTCACATGCTTGAACAAAACCGTAGTCCTCTACTGAATTGAAATATGTACACTTTTCAAATCAAACAATACCCCATCAGCTTTAGGAAAGGAAGAAACTATCAGCACCTACCCAAACTGATTTTATTGAACTACATTAGAGATATAAACTGTAAAAGTATTTGGTATATATTGAGATAGAGTAAAAAAGGTCTTCCTTTCAATGTTAATCTTCAGCCAACATAGATTTCAGCTTTTCCACAGCAAGTCAAGAACTCAGAGTTTCTTAATTTATTTAACAAATCATTTAAAATTCATGTCACATCATCTTGAGGGCTTGTAGCTGAATATATCTTTTCAATATCTCAGATTTCAAATCATACTCATTGAACGAGTATGTAATGCACAAAATATCCACAATAGTTATACATGAATCCAATCTGCATGCAATCATGGAATATTCTTTGCGGTTATCGTAAAGCAGTACACCCACATACAATGTTATCTGTTAAGAGCCAGATACGTGTTAACTCATATACAGTTAATGCCCTTCTGGCTCTCAACAATATTAAGATGTTGCAAATCTTCGCTTGAGAGATCTTTATCGATCAAAGGACTAAACTGATTTCACTAGCCACCTTATAATCCAAACACTGCATACCGTTGCTAACCATAACAATTCCTATAACTGCAAACTGCTGGCAGCCGACAATATGGTCAATTGTTCTGGCAAATTCAGCCTAAAATGCATAATAAACACTGATGTATTCAAAAAGCGATATTGCACAAGCAGTGATTTCCTTTATAATTCTTTATGTTAACTATTTCTTGTGAGAGATGGTTATACAATGTCTCTGTCTTGGGATACTGCAGAAGAGCAACTAATTAACCAAACTTATAATTTAGGATGACGTCAGGATCCATGATCCCAAAGGTTTTGATTGATGGACAGTTAGCGATGGATAGCAAAAAAATATATGAAGAGAAAATCAGAGACTCCATCGCACTCGCAGGGCATTGTACAAAGCATATTTTGGATTTCAATCAACACTTTTACTTTTATGCTAAATATAACACTCACTGATATATCATAAGAACCAAATTTGAAAGAAGGTTGCTGCAGCCTTGGATTTTAATTTATCTGTGGTTTTATTACAACATGACCAATGGCAATAAATGCCATATATAGCGTGTTGATAAACACGTAGCGCAGGGTGGACAGGTCCCCTATACCCTGATGACACATGGAATGATGTCAGCCAAGAAAAGGATGATGATAGTGAGGAATGCCACATAGAGTGATGTCTTTCAGGTAGAAGATGTTGATAAGGACAACTAGCACAGGGTGGGCAGGTCCCCTATACCCCGATGATACACGGAATGATGTCAGCCAAGAGCAAGAGACTAATGGCCAGGAATGCCAAATAGAAGAGGAACATGCAACCTCCCATGATTTTGGTCATCCGCCATTTGTTGACTGCGATGAGGATGACGACCAGGATAAGCATCCCAAAGAGAAGGAAGATGGAACAGAAGAGTCCCTTGCTATCGACGGACACCGACGCACCGTTTTGGGAGATGCTCCACAGTATCCAAGGCAATGGTAGTCTGCAAAGAAGCAAAAACACCATTTAGAAACAATCATCTCCCTTTTCCCGTTAACACTAACTCATCTTACCATTGGCATGGTGATCAATACTCTAAGACTCTACTACTAATCCGCACATCAACCGCATTGTACCCTTTCCCCTCCCTTTCCCCTTCCAATTTCCCATTTCCAATTGAAATCCAAACTGCTCTGGCCTATAAATTCACAAAGCAGGTTTAACCTCGAACCAAATTTTAACCTATAACTTCTACATCGGACTAGAACAGGTATATCGTCGGCCGTACGCAAGAAGGCCATATGTATTGTCAAAGGCAACAACAGCCTTCTTGCGGGCAGCAGATGATATAAGTGCATACTGCCCCGTTTATCGGACAGTAGGACCTATGCGTATTGCACTTCCGGTGGTTTAAATCAATAGAAACCTCCCTTTTGATTCCAACCTATATCTTTGAGGAATAAAACTCTTAGTACAGTCAAACCTGCTTTAGTGACCACATTTTTTGTTTCCCTTAAAAATGGCTTCTCATTGAAACATGTACTAAAGGAACCTGTCTACAAAGACCACCTGTCTACGAAGACCACTTGTTGCTTTCCCCTTTGGCGGTCGCTATAGGCAGATTTGGCTGTATATGTCATCATAGAGATGGTCAGATTACCTAATTACATTCTACTCACCCCACTGTGATGTCAAAGATGTTACTGCCCACAGAGCTAGACACAGCCATGTCACCTAAGCCCTTTCTAGCTACGATGACACTGGTGATCAGATCAGGTATACTGGTTCCTGCGGCTAAGATGGTCAGTCCCATCACCTAAGAAAGAAAACAAAAAGAATTCAAGGGTATAGTCTTTCTATCATCCATAAAGCTCCTTCAGATATGACTCGAACACAACGCTGCATTTTTTATGATGATGTAAAATGTAACAGACTTTACAACACAGAGCTGAGTAAATACGTGCAATGATAGAAATATGACTGAGAGAAATTTCTCAACTGCAATTTTATGAAAGCTTAGCTTCATCAATGAAAACACTTCCAAGCCAGGATTGGATCGGTTTGTAATATTAATGGGGCACAACAGGAGGACATTATATGCTATTCATTATCATGATATCATTTAAAATAAAGAGATCCACTTGTTAAAAGATTAACTTTGTACCCCACCTGCTACATTTCCCCTCCTCACATTAAGCTACCCCCCTCCCCCCCCCCAAAAAAAGGGGGGGGGGGAGAAATGGAATTGGTACAGCTTAGCTATGTAAGAGAAATACAAGAATCAGTCATTTAGGAAAGCATTATACATTCACTGTGCTTTTGTAAAATGATATAAAATCCTACAAAATCTGATCCTTATTCTTGAAAAGAAATAAATACACATATATAACAACATGTTTCATTGCACGTTATGGCCCGAATTCACAAAGGAGGTTTGTCGACAAACCAAGGTTTCGTGCGTCATATGACGCGTTTTTACAAACCTGTACCTGTCATCTGACGTACATAAACCAAGGTTTGTCGACAAACCTCCTCTGTGAATTCGGGCCTATGTCTAGAAAATGTCATCATGAGCGTTTAAGCCGTGTTTAAACATGTGATGGTAAACCGCAGACAACAAGTTTAATACATGTACCCTTTACATTACTGTATCTCATAACATGTGACGTAGTAAATACGTGAAGGACCTTTGTTGCGCGCAGTTGTTATTCAATCATGTACTCGAAACAAAACTGCTGCATTTTATTTTCCCCTGTGGTTTACCACATTTTATCTGAACAAGCCTTTAATGAGCCATTGCGCTAGAACATCATCACATGTATAACTTCTCTTTTCATTATTAATTTCTCTTTTTATAATTAATATGTGGGAATGTTTGTTTGGAGCCAGAAGGGTGTTCATGTGGTGTTTGAATACATGACCTAAACCCCTTTTTGCTCCAAACAGATGATATATATATATCCTAGGAAGGAGTAAGGGAGGGAAGGAATGAGGGGAAAGAAAGAGAGAGAGAAGGGGGAGGAAGGGAAAGGGAGAAGACAGAGCAACAGAAAGAGAGAGAGGGGAGGTGAAGGAGGGAGAGAGAAAAAGACTGAAAGAGAGAGAGAGAGGGAGAGAGAGAGAGAAAAAGAAAAGAAAAAAGGGGTGGAAGGAATGAGGGAAAGAAAGAAAGAGGGGGAGAGGGAGGGAGAGGGAGAAGAGGTATCAACAGACACAGAGAGAGGGGTGGTGGAGGGAGAGAGAAAAAGACAGAAAGAGAGAAGAGAGAGAGAGAGAGAGAGAGAGAGAAAAAAAAAAAGAAAAGAAAGAAAAGAGAGAAGGAGGGCCTGGAGGAGGCATGAGGTAGGGGAACAATGAAGGTGAATTTGTGAATTAGATCAAGAAATAGAGCAAAACACCATATCAATTTCTTGATACGCAACACCTTACAGCAATATTTTAATTTCACGCTCTTGAATTTTGGTTGATGGAATTGGTTATGCCCCCACATCACATCCTGTCATTTCTTGGAATACTTCTTTCCTAATCAATACTAGAGAATACAAGGGTGAACAACATCAGTGAAGGAAGGAGGCAGGATGTTGGATCTACCCAATTCATAAATTGTAACCAAACCAATCCAATTCCATCATTGAAAAGAATTAAGAAAGCTTTGTCAAATAGTGAAGAAAACAAATATTCCTTTTAGTTTCAGGCTTCAAGTTTCTTTCTGTCAAAACTAAAATTATTAATTATCCATAATGATTTGCAATTGTTAAAAGTAGGAAGAAAGAGACATTCATAGTCATTTAACTTTCCTATGATCAAATCTACATAATTATTAGTCATCCTTCAAGAAACTTGTTTTTCTTTCATGAAAAAAAAAAACCCTTTCAGTAATTCATTCATACTCTTTTACAACTAAATTGACTCTAGGAAAATTAACATTCATTTCATCTCTTCAATATAAAGCCCCAAAAATCTATTCATGAACATGCCAGACTGACAAATGGTTGAAGAAAATAACAATTCTACCTTTTTTCCAGAACAAATGTTAAGAAACCCGTCATGACTATTTACAGTTGTCAAAAGAGTTGGAAAAACAACTCAACTGATTCATTCTTCAAAATGAAACTTTTTTTAAAAGATGGATCGTCTCCGATGACAGGGAAAACCCCAAAACATTACCTCATTGTCAAGGAAGGGGTAAGATTTCTTTGCTTTGGGAGTTACACTAGAATGGATTGGAGCAAGCAAAGTGGGAGGCAATGTTCATCATTAATGTGCTTAGCAATGCATCTCTGTCAGGCTCCTCACCACATAGGCAAACAGTCGCGTGTGTGCCGAGCAAATTCCGTTACCGTGGCAACCACAAAATCATGACTAATCTAATAATCTGGGGCTCTGTGCAGAAGAAAAGTCTCAAAATTGAAGTGCAGGCAACTAGCTCGTCTGGCTTTAGATTACACAGATCTTATTTCTTCATCTTTGCCTCATTACTTTGAGGGGGAAGAATATCCACTTCCGCTGGATGGAGATGAAGAGATGCGACATTTTGTTTGCAGTTTAACTTGAGACGCAAGGCAGATGGAAAATATAAAGAGAATTAGTGCCGACTCCAGAAAGGAATGAAAACAAAAAAATTGGGAGAATGACAAGAGCAAATAGGTGGAGGGAGGAATAAAGATACATATGCATGGAAGCCAGAAGGAAGATTTTATACACCCTTCCTACTCTAGGAAAGAGAGAAAGGGAGAAGGAGAAGGGTGGAGGGAGGAAGAGAGAAAGAGAGGGAGATAGATAACATGTGAATATATAAAGAGCTAGAGTTGGGGAGATAGAAGATCAGATAGGGAGAGAGAGAGATATAAAGAGAGAGAGAGATATATAAAGAGGGAGAGAGAGAGAGAGAGAGAGAGAGAAAGAGAAATGGAGAAAATAACAGAGAGAGAGAGAGAGAGAGAGAGACAGTATAATGTTTATGAAATTTCCCAGTAGATACAATGTGGTATAGGTGGTAAATTACTTGAAGAGAAAAATGATGGGCCCATTCCTGTTTACGCCAAACTTGTTTATCAGGGGACTTGAAAAAAAGGATTCACTATGCACATACAGGTGTTATGAAAGTCAATTATGGCACGCAAGTCTGGCTGGCTGGCATCCTCACCATCCTTACCATGCAACTGCAGGCAAGCCATCATGGTGATTAATAGGGAGAGAGGTGCGAGCTTGAGGTAATGTATTGTATTCTGAACCCACTCACTGAATTATTGAGGTACACTGGGAAGATGGGAATTGAGGCTGAGAATCAAGAGGGAAGAGAAGAGAGAGAGAGAGAGATGGAGAGAGAGAGAGAGAGAGAGAGAGAGAGAGAGGTAAAGAGAGGGAGAGGGAGGGAGGGGAGGAAGAGAGAGAGAGAGAGGGGAGGGAGAGAGAGAGATGATGAGAGAGAGAGAGAGAGAGAGAGAGAGAGAGAGAGAGAGAGAGAAAGAGAGAGAAAGAGAGAAGGAAAGGAAGGGGGGGGGGGGGCTGAAGGAGAGGAAGAGATAGAGAAGCAGACAGGCAGAGCGATTGGAAGAACAGAATCAACTTCTCAAAACAGAAATATCGAGGGACCAAAATGCAGACAAAAAAGTCCATGAAAAACCTATTAATGGGAAAGAGAGACAAAAATAAAAAATAAGTTGTTGTTCTCCCTTTCTTTTGAATGTTACCTCATCAAGTGTTACATAATTTCTGTGCCTTTGAGTCTCTGTTATCCTCTTACATGAATAATGCAGACTGAAAAGAGTCAGACAATGCATTACTCTTTTACCTAGACTTGACTAGACCTTTCCAGATTGCTTCCAGATAGTATTAAAATGTAATGACATGAATTGTTTGGACCAAAGTTACATGCCAAATCTGGTTGTAGTCCCATCTGTCCATTTCTGTGTGCAGTGCATTTGATATTAAGCGAGAATGAGTCAATTTGTTATCATTTCGATCATGTCAAAACCTCACAGTATACCGTACACATGAGAATTCTTACATACTACATATTCAGCATTTCCCAAATGCATTCACACATTTTCTATCACAATATAATCACATGACCAGTACTCAACTTCAAGTGTATGAACAAGCCACATGTACGTGAACGAATTGAAGCCCTTGACCTTGAGAATTATATGTTCGCTGATGTATTCTGGCAGTTTGAAATAAAATGAGCTACCCATACAATTGCAATGGCTATCCATTCTGTCTTCCATGACTCTATACTTGTCTTCCCTCTATCTCTCTGTGTCTCCCTCCCCCTCACTCACCTAATCTCTCTCTGTCTCTCTCTCTCTTTCCTCCCTCTACTCCTGTTTACTCTGTCACTCAATTCTGTCTTCCATATCTACTTTCTTTCTCTACTTACGAAAATCCAATCCCATGTTCTTATTCAGGTTGTATCAAACAGTAAGCTGAAGCTCACACTTAAATGTCCTATGCATGACTATCCCTGAAGAATTAATGTATGTTGCATTCAAAGGAAAGTTGGTCTATAATATTGCAAAACAGTTATTTTCAGGATCATCAGACAGGTTAAATTTCTTATCATGGATTCATGGAAATGAAAAACCTATTTCACTCTCTGAGAACCAGAAGGTTTTATCTCTTACACGGAATCAACACCCTTCTGGTTCTCAACATCAACAGTGCTTTTCAATTGTGATTAAAGATGAAGTTGAGTTCTGATCATGCGATTGCATTATGAAAGAAATGGTGTGGAATCGATCAAAAAAGGTTGATCATCTAGCATTAAGTATTGGTATGTACTGCAAGGTTCTGGAATCATCAAAATGATAAGAA